TTAAATTTGCTGTTCTAAATTGGATGACATTATAAACTAGAGAGAAAGGACCTAAAGAGAGAAATTGAAATGGGTGGTGGTGATAAACAAAAAACACAAGATTCATCTCAGAAGAGAAAAAACAGTCCCCTAAAAGAAAGTTCTTCTGTTTTTGCTACAATACAAATAGAAAAAATGAAAGCAAGGAAGACCCAGAAACTGACAGTGAATCTACAACTCCTGTAGACAGACAAAGAAATTTGCAAACTACAATCTGGGAGAAAAAAGCTGAGCTGATTCCATCAAAATCCATAAAACAATGCTTGAACCTTTATTCTTCAAATACTGATACTTAGAAAATTGGGCAGTTTATGTATAAGCAATTCAGGCAGTTGTATTAGATACGTGTTTTTTGCTCATGATCATTAGTCTGGGCTCCAGGAAATAGTATGTCACTTTATCAATTACTGTGGATTTGACTTGGGAAAAGTATTCAGATCCTCTGAACTGTAAATGCCTTATGGTTACAAAGAGGATAATAATCATTTCCATTTAGTTGGGTTGTTTGAGAATTAAAAGAGAAAATGCACATGAAAAACTTGACAAAGTGTCTACTATTTATTAAGTATATGACACTTCTTAACAATTTTTAAGGTATGATTTCAAAAATGATAACTGTAGGAGCAAGAAAAGGTTGAGGCCCAGGCCAGGTCTAAAACTGTAAGCCTAGTTAGTAATGGGGCCATGTCATAGGCAAAGAAGACTACATGAATAAGTCAGAAAAAGTGTCCTCTAGAAGCTCACTGTACAGAGAAAAGTAACGAGTAAGTATACGGGGATGCTTTGATTCCAATAACAAGAAGCACATTACGTGCAGTGAAGCTCCAAGTGAAACAAGTCACTAAAACTGTATTGAGGCATTTACAAAGCCTTCACAGAAGAAAAAGTATTTGAGGTGGTGCTGCAAAGAGGAGGGGAATTTTGACTGCTTGTTTGGAGGTTCTCGCAACGGAACGCTAGGGGGACATTCCCCAATGCTCATCTATTGGGAAGTGTCACCCTCCTCGACCTAGTACACAGCTTCTGGAGGGATGCACATGGAGCAGTGAGGCAGGAAGGGGACACCCGCCTTGCCAGCCAGGCCAGCTGAGTCAACCCTGGTTGTCAAAGTGTGACAGATACCACAAACAGATAACCCTCACATCCTGAGAGAAAATTTTTCAAGTAGAGATTGGTACAGGAGTATCCTAAAGACTGAAACCAATGCACATGAGGAGGAAGTTCCCAAAAAACAGAGTGAGTAGTTTTGTAACCAAAAGCAGGTTCAGTCACTTGCCACTTGCAGAATCCAATTAACAAGAGCGAGGTCTAGTGTAAAGAAAGTGACTTTCATTTCAAAGCTAGCTTAAGGGAAGAAGTACAGGCTTCCTGCCTAAAGGGTACCACTTCGCTTTTGGAGCAGAAAGTGGGCACTTTTAAAAGGTGGCGGGGGAAGACAGCAGGTGGTGTGGGGAATCCCTGTGCTAGCTTGGTACCTTATCTACCAGGCAGTTGATTTGGCATCCTCATGGGCAGAAATAGGTTGTAACAGTGGCCAAGAACTCTCTACATGGAAGAGAGTTTCATAGCAGGATGCTGGGTTATAAACCAACGGTTATCTCTGGAAGCAATCTTCTGGTGGGTGAGAGTTCTGTTCTAGAGCTTGGAAACACATGTTTAGTTGAACTTGCCCTATAGAGAGTGTCTGGTGAAGGGAAGGTAGAAGGCTACAATTGCATTTCTAAAGTGCTAAGTAGTAAGTGGGGGAACAGAGGGAAATAGAGAAAAGAGAAAATAATTTTAAAAAGTAACTCATCCTCTTTTTCTTTAAAAAAATACAAGTACTTGATTACAGTTTGATATATTTGAAGTAGGTTGAGATAAAGCAAGGAGTGGAAAAGAAGAGGGGACTACAGTAATTCAGCTGAGAAAAAGATGAGTTTAGTTTGCGAATACCATTGAATGGCATGTTGGGGGCGTATACAGTACCCTGAAGACAATGGTGAATTGAAGGATATTAAGTTGGGGAAAGACAAGTCTTCAGGTTACAACCATGGAATGGGACAGCTGTGGCAGCATAGGCAAAATGGGTGTTTATCCTGGTCAAGACAATCCCCAAAGGAAGAAAACTTCCAGAGGAGATAGCCAAATGTTCAGTCAAGGGGCACACATAGTTCCCAGATCTATGCCCTGAGGAGGTGGGAAGGGAAGTACCAGCTATAGATCCTGGAGTCTGTAATGTTGGATGGAAACCCAAGAAGCTATCCAAATAAGAAGGCTCCCATTATAATAAATAGCTTATTCCCTGACCCAGTGGTCAGAAGTTTGTATGGAGTCTTTCAAGGGCTCACAAAGCCAGGTCCTCTATGAGTTAGGATGAAAGAGACAAGGTACTTCTGAAGCACCCTCGAGAGTTAAAAGGAGATGTTGAGAAGTGACTGAAAAGAAAAAACAGAGCCACTGAGAAGTCCGCCTTCATCACCCAAAGGATAAGTTCTCTTCTTGAAAATGTCTGGGAAGTATGTATGGGGGAAGGAGAAACACATATAAAGAAATAAGTCTGGGGACTAACACTTCCAGGGCAAGGCAGGAAAATAAACACTGTCTTTACAGACATAAAGCCTGAGATTGAACTCCAAATCCATTTGCAACTGTATGATCTTGGATATATTACTGAATTTTTTTAGTTTCACTTTCCTTATCTGTAACGGTGATTATTGTATTTATGCTGCAAGACTATTATTACAAAGGAGAAATGGATAATGTATGTCAAACATGTAACACAATGATGGTGAATCACACCCATCCAAACACGATAACTCTAATAACTCCTGTCCCTCCCCTCCATCCCTACCAGCTCTGGCAGCCTGGAGGTGCCAAGTACATGTATCTTGATGATTTTATCTCAGCTCTCTATGGAGCTCAAAAGTATAGGAAAAGCAACTGAGGCATCCAGCCCTGACACAAAGAAGACCACCAAATCCTGCCCCAGCTCCCTCAATTGGCCCTTTAAAGACTTTTCTTTTTTTTTTTTTAATCATCATTTTCTCTATTGTTAGAAGTCTGTGGCTGCTTTTCTAATAAGCAGGTGCATTTTTGCTTTTCTAAGAAGCAGGTACTTTTCTAAGAAGCTGTTAATCTCATGGAGCTCATTTTAATATGGCTTTTAAGGGCCAACAAGAGTGTATATTTCAAAATAATTCCTACTGGATGTTTTGTTGAAGCAATATATGGTTATTAATAGCTACTGCCATGTTTAACAGCCTTGTCTGTTAATTTATCAAAGGGAAGTTGAAGCAAGTATATGAATTAATTTGTTTTAGTCAATAGGTATTGGGAACTTGAAGCATCATCTAAAAGTCATTGGAAAAACAAAATTCACTCTTATTTTTTCCTGAGCTCCAAGCCATATTATCAATAAAAGAAGATGACTAATCTTCTAGCCCCACTGGATCCTGATGTAACATCAGATTACTAGCTCAGAACTATAAACAAATTTCTTATCACCTAAAATTTCAGAGTTTAATATCCTCTAGAAAACAAGCTTGCAACTATATGGAGAGCCATAAATTATTAAAATTAAACTACAGTCATGTCTTGATTTACTCACTGTATATATAATAGAGGCCTCTCAGCATTATTAAGGGGATTGAAAATGGTATCATTTCAAATGGTATCAAAGAGCTGATAAGAGTCACATGGCCTGATGTCTGTTGGTTTCTCCAGCACCCTGAGCAAGTCACTTCACCCTCCAGTGCCTCAGGTTACTCGTCTATAAAAATGGGATGATGGCTGCCCTAGTATCACTCAGGATTACTGAGGGCACATTTTAAAAATATTATTAAAAATTATAATCCACAATATAAAATCTGCTGGAATTATTGATATTAGAAGTGGTACAATTTATGTCGAATATTAAGTTGTCTGCTTATGAAAGACTTGTTTTCAGCACTGGGCTTACTAATGCCTGACTTCCCTCTAAAAATAACAAGCAATTTCAGTAAATTGTAAAAGGGGAACATTTGCATGGCTTCCTGTCAGTAAAGACCATTTATGTGCTTGAAAGAAATACCATTTAGATATGACATAAACCCTGCAATTGCTTACAATTAAACCTTGCTCAGCAAAGAAAAAATTCCCATAGAAATTTACCATGTCAACAGCACCTCCCTGGGACATGAAAGACCTTTATTCCAACAGACGAATTGAAAGAGGATTTATAAGTGTCACTGCAGTTTTTAAACACTTTTTTTTTTCAAATGCAAGTTATCACCTCTAATTTACAACAAGCATTATCTGTATGGTGACTACTCAAACTACAGCTCAAGCCCAGATAGCTCAGTTGAGATTAAGCTCCATTCCTTCAACGGCCAGTTGGATATTCTGCACTCAAAATATCCATGACTGAACTTATCAGCCTCTACACCAAAACTTCTCTTCTTACTTTCTTCCCATGATTGTGACTGGTTTCATTTGCATAAGCTAAAATCTGCCCAATGAATGGAGTCAAGGATAGGTGCCATCCAGTCATCTGACTGCCATTTAAAACATCCATCTTCCATACGTCTTAGTTTCCTGGCTGTGCCTTCTTTCAGCTATGCCTAAAGCAGCCTTACTCCACCATTTCCACATTCCAGCAAGTACTAGGAAAAGAAAGAGTACAGAAGTGGTAGTGAAGCCAGCAATATTTCTGCTTCATCTTATGTCTAAGAATTAAGGTTTGACATGTCTAGTGATACAGAGTTTGACTGTTTTCCTGATGTTGACGAAAGAAATTTAAATTAGAATTCAAGCACTGTACCACCACTTACTAGCTTATGATCTTGAGAAAGTCATTTGGTATATCTGACCTCGGTTTTTTCACTTGTGACTTAAATGTGATAACTACTCTCTTTTCTCACACAGCTGTGGTGAGGCTAAAGAAGAGATACTTAAATTTAAAGAAGCAATGTCTATTGCAAAGTTTTAGGTAGTACAGATACCATCATTTTTCTTCCAAAACTGCGACCGTGCTTGCATCTCCATCTCCGCCTCCTTTCCTTCTGTTTAGGTGAAGCGTGAAGGCTTCTCCCACCACAGGCCAAGCCATCTGCTGTGTCTTGCTCCACTCCATTTCTTCCTCCTCACTCAAAAATTTTGTTCCTTTTAGATCTCTTTCCTGAAAGAGAGAGATCTTTAATCTCATCTGTTCTCCTAGCTCATCTTCATTAACATACAAACACGTTGCAGGACCTTTCATTGAAAGTCTTTCTTTACCCCCCACATTTCTCTCCACTCATTGTCTCTGTTTCCCTCTGTGTGTGTTTATCAAATGCACAACTCACACCCATTGTCTCCCCTTCCTTACCGCCTATTCAGTCTTCATCCCATTTTAATCCCATTCTTTCCCTCCTTCTGTAGTCAGCAGAAATTGTTCTTCTAAAAGTCACCATTGACCTCAATGCTGTAACTTAATCTTATTCACTAACCTCCCACCCAGACTCCCTAGGATTTGGCCACTCCTCTTCTGAAATCTCCTCCTCTCTGAGTTCCTCCACCCCACTATCCTGGTTTAACCCTCAAATTAAGATTCTGAGCTTCCTTAGTTACAATCTATATCTATGCATATGTATATCCTCAGCTACGAACATAGCCATCAGCACCATGCTCAGGAAGTGTTTTTATTTATTTGCCTTGCTTGCTTGTTTTTAAAGAAACTGGTCTCCCAGTTTTGTTTGTTAGTTTGTTTTGAGTTTAAGAAGGATATTATATTTGGATAAAGAATATATGATATTCCAAATAAATTCTAGTTTCTTTTGTTCTTTTTTTCCCATCCTGTAGCAATTTTTATGACTATTTATACATATATGTGAAATAAAATGATAGGTATTTGTCTTGTGCTATCTTTGATGTTTACATTTTTATTTTCTAAATCAATTGTATACTGGCCTCAAAATGAGCTGGGTTGTTCTGCTTCTTATCTGGGTTGTCCCAGATATAGCTGTCCCATTCATTTATGTAATGTGACTTTGACATGTGTAGAGGTCTCACACGATTATCCATAAAGTCCTCCATGTCTGCTATACTGTCCTCAGTTTGCAGTTTTAAAACCTCGACCTTTTTATTTATTAGTATTAGTGATGTCCGGCTTTATGCTTCTATTTATTTTGGCATTACTGAGGTAAATTTACTTTATAGTAAGTTCTCAATAAAAAACATTAATTTATATTAAGGTATAATATGAATACATTTAAATGCACCGTTTTTAGTGTTCGGTGCTGAGTTTTGACATCATTTTATGTAGTATCAGTATTATGTTTTGATATTACTGATTATATTTTGTTGTATAGTTGTGTAACCACTACTACAATCAAACTATAATACAGGTTGAACAGCCCAAAGAATTTTCCTGTGCCCAGTGTATCAAGCTCTTCCCAGTCCTCTGCTCCGAGCAACCCCTGTTCTGTTTTCTGTGTCTGCAGTTTTGCCTTCTAGAATGTCAAATAAATGCAATGGTATAAAATGAAGCCTCTTGAACCTGGCTTCCTTTACTTAGCCAAATGTTTTCAGGTTTATTCATGTTGTGTGTATCTGTAATTCACTTCTTTTTTATTCCTGAGTAGTATTCCATTGTATGGATTATTACTTATTATTTATTCATTTATTCACCAGTTGTGACAAGCACTCCCATCAACTCTCAAAAATGTCCGTGTTCTAATCCCTGAAAGCTGTGAATATATTACCTTACATGGCAAAAGGAACTTTGCAGATGTGATAAAGGTTATAGACTTTGAGACTGGAAGGTAATCCTGGATTATCCTGGTGGGCCAAATATAGCCACATAAATCAGGAAGATGATAGCATCAGAAGTCACTGGTGCCCCGTTATTGGTTCTGTTGTAAGGAACCACATGCAAGAATCAGACAGAGACCTACAGGATCTAAAACTGGCACTCAGCTGACAGCCAGCAAGGAAATAGACCTCAATCTTCCATCCCCATGAAGCCAGGTTCTGCCAACACCTGAACAAGAAAAAACACATTTTCCCTTAGAGCCTCCAGAAAGGAATGCAGGCAGGCTGACATCTTGATATTACCTAGTAAGTCCCCTAGTAGACTTCTATCTGCTAGATATTCAAAATAATAAATCTATATGGTTGTAAGCCAGTCAGATTGCAGAAATTTCTTACATCAGTAGCAGAGAACTAATATACCAGTTGAAGGACATCTGTGCTGTTTACAGTTTTTGGCAATTGTGAAAAAAAATCACTGTAAAATGTAGAGTATAGGTTTTTGTGTGAATCTGAGCTTTCATTTCTCTTAAGTGGAATTGTTGGGTTATATAATATGTCCATTTACTTTATCAGAAATTGCACCACTGTTCACCAAAATGAGTGACTTCATCATTTTGCATTTTTATAATTAATGTATGTGAGTTCCAGTTGTTCTGAATCCTCACCAGCATTTGGTATTGGCAGGGAATCGTTCATCTGTTTGTTTGTTTGTCCAAATCAAATGAGTATGTAGTGGCATCTCGTGGTTTTATTTGCATTTCCATAATGATTAATGATTTTGACTTGGTGAAGTGTCTGTTCACATTTTTTTTTTTGCCAAATTTTAATTGGGTTATTTATTTTCTCATTATTGAATTTTGTATATTCATATAGTCTGGAGTATTTATTTCCCAGTGCTGTGTTGTATATTACCACTAACTTGGCGGCTTAAAATAACAGTCATTTATTCTCACGCAATTTGTATGTCAAATGTCCAGCCATGGCATAACTGGGTTCTTTGCACACGGTTTTAGAAGACAAATTCAAGGTGTCAGCTTGTTGCGTTTTTATCGGATCTCATCTGGATCTCAGGTTCCTTTTCTTTTTTCTTTTTTTTTTTTTTATGGTATTCAGAACATCACTTTATAAGCTGTTGTCAAATTACCATTTTAACATGAATACCCAAATAGAGAATTGAGAAAATTATTTTAAATTTTAACTCTATCACCCCCTCTCAGTTATGAAGGTTCCTTTTCTAAGCTCATTTAGGTAGTTAGCAGAATTCAGTTTCTTGCTGCTCTAGCAGGACTGAGGTCACTGATTTTTTGTTGTCTATTGGCCATGGGTTGCTCTGTTTCTAGAGACACCCTTAGGCCTAGCCAAGTGGCTCTCTCACACCATGGCTGCTTATTTCTTTAAAGCTAGAAGGAGAATCTTACCAGTCTCTGTGATGGATACTTAGCAATGAAGTGACTGTCAATCACATTTCTCATAGAATGCCATCTAATCAAGGGAATAACTATCCCATCATGCTATAAGTTTCTGCCATCACTCAAGGGGAAAGGATTATGCAGGGTTTATACATCAGAGTGTGAAAACCTTGGGCATCATCCTGTAATTCTGCTAACCACATCTGGATACAAGTCCTTGGTCAGATGTGTTTCAGAAACGATTTCTTACAGTCTTATTTTTCATTATTGTCAAAGGAAAAAAAAGCCTTCTGAAGAATGTAACTTGAATTTTGGAAAAATCCAGATTTTCTCTTTTTTTTTTCTTTCATGTATCATTTTTTTTAAATATTTTTTGCTGTACCTAAGAAATCTTTGCCTAACCCAAGAGCACAAAGAATGTCTCTGATTTTTTTTCTTTTAGAAGCTTTATAGTTTCAGGTTTTATATTTGAACAATTACCTATTTTGAATTAACTTTTGTATGTAATGCACAAGTGTAGGTCACATTCTTTTTTTGCACATGGATATACAATTGTTCTAGCACCATTTGTCAAAAACACCATCCTTACTCCATTGAATTGCCTTTGTACCTTTGTCAAGTATCACTTTTAATATATGTACGAGTCTATTTTTGGATTCTAAATTCTGTTCCATTGAGCTACGTGTCCATTATTTTGCCAGTGTCCAAATTACTACAGCTTTATATTCAGTGTTAAAATTAGAATGAGGCCTTCAAATATGTTCCTTTTCAAAATATTTTGGGTGTTTATTTTTATTATATTACATTTATATTTATAAGGCAAAAGGTATTCACTTGATAAGATGAAACTTATTTGTCTATTTTTGAGACAGGAGTCTCCTTCTGTAGTCCAGAGTCAGGCTGAAGTGCAGTGACACAATCTCTGTTCACTGCAACCTCTACCTCCTGGGTTCAAGCAAATCTCCTGCCTCAACCTTTTGAGTAGTTGGGAGTGCAGGCGCCTGCCCCCAGTCCTGGCTACGTTTTGTATTTTAGTAGAGACAGGGTTTTGCCATGTTGCCCAGGCTGATCTGGAACTCCTGACCTCAAGTGATCTGCCTCCCAAGGTGTTGGGATTACAGGCATGAGCCACCATGCCCAGCCATAAAATTTAGAATTCCTTTTTCAATTTCAACAATAATCTTTCTGAAATTTTTGTTGAGCTTCTATTGAATCTGTAGGTAACTTTGGAGAAACCTGACATATTAACAATATTGAGCCTTCTAATCTATGAATATGATGTAGCTCATCATTTATTTATCTATTTATTTTCTATTATCTTTTTTTAAGGGTTTTGTAGTTATCAACATATATTTCTATATATATTTTGCCAGATTTATACCAAAATATTTCATATTTATTAGTGCTAATTTAAATAGTACTTTTGGAATTCAATTTCCATTTGTTTATTGCTAGTATATACAAGTACTGCTGATATTTATACATTCACTTTGCACACTGCAACATTCCATTTCCTAGTTATAGTAGATTTTTGAAAATTCTTTGAGATGTTTCTATATAGGTAATCATGTCACTTGCAAATAGACAGAGTTTTCTTACTAACTTTGGAATATGTATATTTATTATATTTTTGAAACTTATTTTCCTGTTTCACTAGATAGGACCCCCCTGTACGTTGTCCAATAGGGGAGGTGAGCGTAGATATTCATTTCAGAGAAAAAGCAGTCTTCGGTAGATGTTTTCTATTGCACAGAGAAAGTTCCCTTCCATTCCTAGATTGCTAAAGGATTTATATTATTAAAGGATCTTTATGCATATCAAATGCTTTTGGTATACCTGCTAAAAGTATTTTAGGGTTTTTATCATAATTTTCTTGATATGGCAAATTATATTGATTGATTTTTGAATAATGAACTAACCTAGCATTCTTGGGATAAATACTATTCGGTCAGGATATATTATCCTTTATATATTGCAGGCTTTGATCTACTAAAATGTTTAGAATTTTGTATCTGGTTTATGAGGGTTATTTATCTCTCATTTTCTTATACTGTTCTTATTTGTTTTGGACTCAGGGTGACATTAATCTTATAAAATGAGTTGGGAAGTGTCCCTTCCTCTATGTATTTTCTGGAAAAAAAAATGTAGGATTGGCATTTTGTTCTTCCTTAACTGTTTG